TAGCAGAAAAGCTGATGACCCTGATTCTATTGTCTTTATCTGATCTAATCTCATTTGATATGGTAGTGTAGTTTTATATTTTCTTTTTGCTCCATTTCAATATTTTCATTCACTGCCAGTATAAGCTAGAAGCTGGTTTGGATAATAAACAATACAGTGAACAGGATTTTTTATATTGGAAATATCACTGGTGGCAAAATCTAACTGATATTTGCTCAGTGATAGACTTTGATCTCTCAGTAACTTTGCAACTAGCTAACATGTGTGGCAATATATCCTTAGGAATCTACTAGGAGAAAGGATTGAACAATATATGATACACTTGTATGGTGTCAGTGAATAGATACACAAAAACTAAAAGCAAGATGTACTGATTATAATAATTTGCTTTTTGGTCCATGTGTGTTTGTTATTAATGCTGTTTGTAGTCTATGTTTCCAGCTAAAACGTGCTTTAACATGTTTTTATAAACTTTAATTTGTTATTTGCACAGGAAAAATAGATACATATGGCACTTACATCTCTGATCAAATTCACTTTATTTTTCTATATTCCTTTTGAAGACAGGTCTTGCTATGTAGTTCAGCATGCTCTTGAACTTGCTATGTAACCTGGGCTGGCTGGTAATCCTTCTTGAGTTTTCCAAGTTCAGGGAGTATAGGTGTGTTCCTTCCTGTTCTAGCAATTATTTTTTAAAGCTACTTTTGTATTTAGGGAATTGAGGTTTGTTTTACATTAGCCATAGCTTGTGGGAAGTTTCTGTTTTGATGTTGTTTTTGTTATCGTCTTTGATTGGGAACTATATATATATATATATATATATATATATATATATATATATATATATATTGAACCACCCAAAGGAAATTCATTCATCACTTGTAGAGCACGTAGGCTATTTCTACAGTTTGGCTATTTTGAATAGAGCTGCAATAGATATGGATTTTCAGGTACCTCTTATATCCTGATTTACATTTCTTTGAGTAAATTTTCAAGAATCATATTTCTGGATGATATGATAGTTCTACTTTCAGTTTATTGAGAAATCTCCATAGTGATTTCCAAAGTGGTTGCACTAGTTCACATTCCCACAATGTATTAAAAGACCTTTTTCCCTGCATGCTCTCCAACATTTGTTGTTGTTTGTGTTGTTGTTGTTGTCATCTTTTCCCCTGAGACCAGGATTTGAACTCATAATTTGAGGCTTTTGTTTAAAGGCTAGAGCTCTACCAGTTCAATCACGTTTATATCTCCATTGTTTTTGGTTTTGATGATGGCCTTCTGGAGGGAAATCAAATCTCAAGGAAGGAAGAAAGGAGGAAGAAAGGGAGGGAAGAGAAGAGAAAAGGTAGGGAGGAAAGTGGAGGAGAGGAGGCCAAGGAAATAAATGAGGCAAGCAAAATTAGAAAAAACAAAAAACAACTGAGCAAAGAAAAGAGCTCTGTAATCCAGATTGATCTCTATATTCACCCTATTGCCTCATTGTTTTAATTGACATATGTCAAGAAAATTCAGCTTCCATACATATGGCATGGGGAAGAGAGAGAATCTGACCTTGGCCTTTATAAATTATGGATTTTCCCTTCAATATGACATCAAACTCAAAAGTGTGGTAGTTTCTTAAAGGGTAGCTACTATGAGGAAGTTGGAACTTTGTCAACTAATTTCTAAAAACATGTTATGTTACAGTTCATTATCATGCATCTTGAATTGATTTTTTTAATTTATTCATAATTTTGCAATATTGTATATTGGTCCTTTGACATATATTCAGTGACTTACTCATATTCACTGAATGTTAACACATTATTTTCTCAATCTGAATGTTTTTTTTTTGTTTTGTTTTGTTTTTTTCGTTGGTTTTGGGGCCTGAAATCTGGGTCTGGGCACTGACCCTCAGCTTTTCAGCTCAAGGCTAGCGCTTTTTCTGCTTATGTGGTGCTGAGGAATCAAACCCAGGGCCTCATGCATGTGAGGCAAACACTCTATCACTGAGCCACCTTCCAAGCTGCCCCTCAATCTGAATGTTTTAGGAATCTGTCATGCCTACAGGGATGAAACAATGTTTTTAAAATTCTAATTTTTACTTGAAATCTTCAATGAATGGTTTAGCAAACAGTACTATCCTAAAGGAGGAGGGGGGAAACCGACTTAATTGTAGTGGTTCTGGGCTCTAGGGTTCAATTTATTAATCTAGAAGAACAATGTTTTTTTTTTTTTTTTGGGTCAGTTGTGGGGCTTGAACTCTGGGCTTGGGCACTGTCCCTGCACTCTTCAGCTCAAGGTGAGCGCCCTACCTTTTGAGCCACAGCACCACTTAGAAGAACAATCTTGATCTGCATTTTTCACATTTTCCTGGCTTTTTTGTGGTTAACTGGAGATACGAGTCTCATGGACTTTCCTGGCAAGTTGACTTTGAACTGCTATCCTGAAATCTTAGCCTCCTGAGTTAGGATTACAGGTGTGAACTACTGGTTCCTGCCTACATTTTTTAAAATGAAGTTTTAAGTCTTATTTCCAAGATTTTTGCTTGGAGAGTCTTCTGATAATTTATTTACTTTGTTTTGATCAAATGTAGCATCTTTATTAAAATAGTAGTGCTTCCTTTTCAGGTATCTGTTACAGCTCTTCATTTATCTACATTCCTTTTCTGTCCTTTGTTAAACTTATCATTGTTACTTCACATATGTTTCATACATTTAAGTTGGGTTTCTTCTTAGGTATTTTGAGACATTATTGAGAGTATATATAAATGAATGAATTTTAATCTAATTTAAAAAATTTTATTTTCCTACAGGAATATCCTAACATACTTCTATATTTAATAGTGTTCAGTTTCTGGAATTGATTTTTTTTCACATTAACCCTGAAGTTAAATCGGTTCCATTGATGTTGAAGTCAGGCCTCATTCTTATGAGGGAGGACGACTCTGCCACTTGAGACATGACCCCAACTCTTTTTTTTGCTCTTGGTTTTTTTGGCAGTAGGTTTTCATGTTTTCAGTATTTTTTTATTGTGAAAATACCATATAGAGGGGTTACAATTACATGGGCAAGATAATGAGTACATTTCTTATCAAGCATCATTGCCTCCTCCTTTGTGTCCCCTTTCCATCCCTTCCCATCTCCCACCCTCCACCCCCCGACATCTGACCAAAGTTGTAAAGTTTATTTTTTGACATAACGACTTATACATCTTATTGTTGCAATGGGTCCACCTGTATCCCTATTTAAATGATTTGTTTTTGCCCTTCCCCTCCACAAATTATACCAACATCAAATACAGTGAAAGCAGGGGTTATACCGTGGGGAAGGGACATACAAAGCAACAAAGAAATCATCTTATAAATATGTTAGAAACAATGGCAAGAAAGAAAAAACATTTGAATCCTTATCTTGGACATCAACTTATCTGACCTTTTCTGCTTGTCTCAGATATATATATATACATATATATATATATGTATATATATATATATATATACACACACACACACACACACACACTAGTTATTGCAAATAAGGGAAACCATGGGACCTCTGTTTCTTTGGGCCTGGCTTACTTCACTTAATATAATTTTTTCCAAGTCTTTCCATTTCCTAACAAATGGGGGCAATGTCATTCTTTCTGCTGGAAACATAGAATTCCATTGTGTATATATACCACATTTTCTTGATCCATTCATCTACTGAGGGGCATTTGGGTTGATTCCATATCTTAGCTATGGTAAATAACGCTGCAATAAACATAGTTGTGCTGGTAGCTTTAGTATAGTCTTGTTTGTGATCATTTCGGTAAATGCCCAAAAGTGATATAGCTGGGTCATAGGGGAGCTCTATGTGGAGTCTTTTGAGGAACCTCCATAGTGCTTCCCAAAGTGGTTGAACAAGTTTACACTCCCACCAACAATGCAGTAAGGTTCCCTTCTGTCCACATCCCCTCCAGCATCTGTTGTTATTAGAGTTCTTGATTATAGCCATTCTAATTGGGGTGAGGTGGAATGTCAATGTTGTTTTGGTTTGCATTTCTTTTATGGCTAGGGAGGTTGAGCATTTCTTCATGTGTCTATTAGCCATCCTTCTTTCTTCTTCAGAGAAGTTTCTCTTTAAATCTTTAGCCCATTTATTTATGGGGCAGATGTTTCTTTGAAGATTTGTTGTTGGGGGATTTAATTTTTTGAGTTCCAAGTATATTTTAGATATGAGACCTTTGTCCGTTGTATGGCTAGTGAAGATCTTCTCCCAATCTGTGGTCTTTCTATTGATCTTGCTAGCTATGTCCTTTGCCATGCAGAAGCTCTGCAATTTCACGCAATCCCATTTGTGCAACCTTTCTTTGATTTGTTGTGTTTCTGGGTCTCTATTAAGAAAATTTAGGCCTGTGCCAAGGAGACGTAGGGTTTCTCCTATTCCATCCTGTAATGTTTTCAGAGTGTCTGCTTTGATTCTGAGGTCTTTGATCCATTTGGAGTTGATGCTGGTGCATATATAAGGATCTAGGTGATATATAAGGATCTAGTTTTAGTTGTCTACAAGTAGTTAACCAATTTTGCCAGCACCGTTTGTTTTCTGTATTTTTGTTTTGGAATGTCCTTAGACTATGATTTTCTTATTTATATTCTCCTGTCCCAGGCTGACCTTGATCTTTGACCTTTCTAATACCTACTTACTGAGTAGCTAAGATTTCATCCTGAGTCACTGCATACATCTTTAGATTCATCTCTGACCATGTTTGAATTATCTAACCATTAAGATCTCAGTCTACTAGCTACTTATTTTTGGTTATTATTATTTGTATTGAAAAAATGCCCTTACTGTATTTTAGTTAGCATTGTCAAGTAAAGTATTTTTAAGCAAATAGTTACTTAGTGGAAACTACTGTATGCTCTTCCTATTTAAGAAAATATTTGAAGAATGTTTCTCAGAAACTTGGGTGTTGTAAACACCTAATGTGAATTATGTCATTCTTCGTAAAATTGATTACCATCTTTCCATTTGCAGGATCTCCAAAGATGGGTAAACAGTGCTGATGAACATGGATTTGTACTGGTATCGTTTGGTGCTGGAGTTAAGTATCTATCAGAAGAAATTGCTAACAAACTGGCAGGAGCTCTGGGGAGATTGCCTCAAAAAGTGATTTGGCGGTAAGGCAATATTAATAATACAGATTGATCTGTTGCTGTTGATTTTCAGTTTCCCTTTGTATCAAGGATACAGTATAGCTCTAGATGTGTACAACACACACACGCACACACACACACACACACACACCACACACACACACGCCGGATACCAGTATCAGCCACAGGTCCCAGTAAGATGCAGACACTGATTTGCTGACAAGATCAGTTACTTGCCCTTGAAGCTTCACTTTATTTCTCTGTGTACTGAAATGTAAGAATCAGTTCATAACATCTGTGATAGATTGAAAACTCTGGCTTGTAGTGTAGAGAAATGTTTTAGAATGATTTATCCTGTGTTGGATGCAGTTTTTCATGTTTCCTTCAGATTTCTACCCTCCTATACTGTTCTGATTTTTAAAAAATGATTTTATGGTGGTTCATGTCTACAATCCTAGCTATTCAAAAGGCTGAACCAGAGGATCAGAGTTTGAGATCAATTTGAGCAGAAAAGTCTATGAGACTTGGCAAAATTCCCAATGCAAAGTGAGGCTGGAAGCAGGGCTCAATGGTAGAGCACCAGTTAAGCAAGCAAACCAAGAAAGAATATGAAGCCTTGTGTTCAAAACTTAGTACTGCCTGCCCCCATAAAATAGTTCAATATAATTTTAGGATTTTTTAAATACTCCTTCAAATCAGTTTTGGAATTAGATGGGAATGATGAATAAATAGTTAAAATATTTAACCATTTCTCTCCTTAGCAAATATTTTTGATTGGTTTCTATAAGAAATTAGCCCATTATCATTTAATACTAATTAAGAGTGATTCCTGGATTAACTCTTGCTCCTTTTGGAGCACTGTTAAACACTGGAATTTCCAACCGAATATTTCAAACTCAGAACTAAATGCTTTACTTATTATTAGGTATTTATTTAGTATATGCCACCACTGTTGGAAGTGGTAGTAAAAATGATCTGCTTCTTGACTAGGAGTAATGGTCACTAAAGCTATTTTCAGTACTCAGACATTTGGAGTTTTTCCTCACTATGTGAGGATTACATCCACTTCTGGCTGAGCCATACAGTGCGTATGGAATTGATTCTAACTGTCCAAGGGATTTTTGCTTGAGATTCTAGTCTCATGGAACTTTGTCTATTCAGACTAACCCAGCAGGCACCTTTCTGCTTTATTTTGGTAGCTATATCTGTTTGGTTCACACTTTTGCCACTCTGTTAGTAGGTAGGCACCTTTGAGGTTTATCTTTTATAGTGCAGGCAGAGAACAGCCCAATTATGTCCTTCGTTCTCCACTCTTCAGGGTCAAGGTAATGAATAGTACTTTCTGCTTTCTTCCAAATTGTGTGCCTTCCCTTGGGCTCTGGATGGCAAGGGCACTGGTGACTGCCCTGGGACTCTCCCTGGCCTTTCCTATTTCCAATTATGGGTATCAGTGTGGAATGACTTCTAGTATCCCTCACACCCCACTCTCTCTAAGTAGGTGATAAGAAACAGTAGAGAATAGATCTTTATGTAAAGATATGTTTCTTAATCAATGGAAGATTTTTTAAATATATTTTTAAAACTCTCTGTAAATAGCTGTACAAAGGGGTTTTAATGCATCATGACAGTTCATGAGTACAATTCATCTTGATCAGTGTTACCTCTTCTATCATTTTTCCCCCATCTCTCTCAACCTCATCCAGCCCCTCTAGTTTCCTTGTTCCATTTTCATACTGGATTTTTTAATTTTTAATTTAATTTTTTAATTTTTAGTTTTTTTGTTGGTCCTGAGGCTTGAACTCAGTGCCTGAGCACTATCCCTGAACCTCTTTGTGCTCAAGGCTACAGTGCCACTTCTGGCTTTTTCTGAGTAATTTATTGGAGATAAGAGTCTCAGTGATTTTCCTACTGCTAACATCTCAGCCTCCTAAGTAACTATGACTACAGGTATGAGCCACTGGTGCCTATTATTAGTGTTTATTATGGGAGTATCCACCCTTCTTTCTTTCCACTCTTCTGCTCCCATCCCCTTAATTCCTACCCTTAAACAAAAAAAAAAATGTTCCAAGCCGGACACAGGTCACTCATGCCTATAGGCCTAGCTAATCAAAATTCTGAGATATAAAGATTGAGGTTTGAAGCCAACCCTAGGAGGAAAAATCTGAGAGACTCTTCTCTCCAGTTAGTCAGCAAAAAGGTGGAGGAAGAGGTGTGGCTAATGTGGTAGCATGCCAGCCTAATTAAAAGAACAAAACAAGCAAAGGTGTGAGGCCCTGAGTCCAAGCCCCAGTATGCTAGCATAAAATTAAAACATGTTACAAAGAATCGCAATTAGATTGTCATAGCCACCACAGCATGATTTCATTCTTGAGAATATCAACGATGTGATCAGGTAGCATCTATGAAACTACCAATTTAACCAAAGAACTTATACTGTGGGTGAAGTTTGATTCCTGAACTGTTCACTGTCTGGTGTCCATGTGTAGGTTTTCTGGAGCCAAACCAAAGAATCTAGGAAACAACACCAAGCTCATAGAGTGGTTACCGCAAAATGACTTGCTGGGTAAGTCAGATACACATGTGATTATTTTCTAGACTATTAAGAGTTTAATTGTGTCAACATAATATTTATACTTGAATGGTTCATAATATGTGTGTGTAGTTTATGATGGACTCATTATGTTCTTATCTAGATGTAAGTTTTCAAATTTCACACCAACATTGCAAATCTTTACTAGAAACTTCTTTATAAAATGTCATAATTGGGGCCTGTAATTAAAAATTTTATGCTAGTCTCTAATTTTTAATCATCTAGAAAATAATACATAGCAAATCACCTAAATTAGCAGTGACTAAATCTATGCATGATTAGGCAAGTTGAGCAAAAGTACTGAAATTAAAAATAATGAAAATGCAAATTTATGTTGTGCATTAATTACAGCCATGTCAGAGAAATCAATGAATCTTAGTTTTTCTGAAACAAAAAAGAACATAGAAAGCTTGAGTAGATTTATTTTTAACTTTAGTTTGTCTCATCTGCCTGAATTCTTCCCTAAATTACTAGAGATGCCTAAACTACTAGGTGGTTTTGTAGTAATTTAATTTTTTTAACTTCTTTATTTATTGAGATTCTGATAATCAACTCAGAATGAAAATAACAATTTATCACTAGCATATGTTTCATGTATATTTGAATCAAAACAATTTAACTATGTTCAATAAGCACAGACATTAAAATTTATTTTTTTCATTAACTAGGAAAACACAATACTATTTTATCTGCCTCATACTGAGTAAAGAAATTATAAAGAAGCTATTGGGCTTTGACAATATTGACCACTATATATTCATTCAATAAGGCTTTCACCTAACATTAAAAATGACCATTTTTAAAAATTTTAGTCTTAAAAATAAAAGGAAAAATTTTAATTATTATCTTACTTTAAGACAGTTTCTAGAAGCTTTTGTGATTCTCCTAATAGTAACTTTAATTGTGTGACTAACCAACTATAAAGAATTGTGTATATAATTCCTGTCCACCTAGCTCTAACCTGTCAATGATAAATTGGGGGCAAAATGAACACAAGACCATTCATTCCCTTTTGGGATACTTGGTGGTTTTTTTTCATCTTTGTCTTTTATATCTTTACAATTATGAATTTTGGAGCCTATAGAAAGTAGGAAAGAAGAAGGAAATCTGTGTTAGAACTTGAAGCTCAGCTTTTTCAGAGTCTGGGAGTGTTACTGACACGTGTATCATGAATGGCCCTTGCAAGGCAGTTACCCAGTGGTCCATGCTGGAACCTGCTCAACTCCATGGATCCGTGCAGATTCTTCACACTAGGGTCCATTAGTGGGGTCCTTACTAAACTGCAGGCATGGCCTTTGCAGAACCTCTGATGACGTCTATGATCCAAGAATCCCCCAGGAAGAGAAGTGACAATCAAATCATTGTCTTTCCCCTCTACTTACCCTCTATTACTCTCCTCTCCATACCACCTCTGCTTAATTCTTTATTGTCAGGCTTAGTGACAAGGGTTTTCTGCCTGAAAGAAAGTTCAGAGTTAGCCTGACACTAATGGTCCACACCTCTAATTCTAGCTATTCAAAAGGCTGAGATCTCAGGATTGTGGTTCAAAGTCACCCAAGCAAGGAAGTCTTTGAGACTTTTATCTCCAATTAACCAGCAAAGGGCCAAAAATGGAGCTGTGGCTCAAGTGGTAGATCACTAGTCTTGATTGGAAAAGCTTAGGGGTGGTATTTGGATCCTGAATTCAAGCCCTACATAATACCAATAAATACATACACACAGACACACACAGAGTTCAAAGTTTATTTCTACTGCTGTTCTTTAGTTAGGACTAAGAGTCATTTGAGATGGAGAGACATTGACTAAGTAGTCATTGCACTTAGGAGCAGGAATGTTCTACAAGCTAAGTAGCTAAGATTACAGGCGTGAGCCACCAGTGCTCAGCCATTTTTACAATTTCTATAACCTGCATTTGATGTTAGTATGGATGAATAATGCTTGGTAATCTGAAAGTAGAGGTCTAATTTGGGTAATATGCATTTGAACCTGGTATTATTTGTTTCTTATTTGCCTTGGCTTCCTATTCACTTCTGATCATTTAAATATATGTTGTTGGTCAAATTGTATTTCAAGGACATACTATACTTTATTGCTAATACTATACATTTTAATTACTTAAAATTACTTTTATTTGATATACACCAGTTAAGCAATTATATGTGTCCTGAGCATGTATTCATTCTCATACACTGGTATAGAAAAGAATCAGTGGAATTATGTCTTTAAAAATCATACATGTGGGAAGAAAATCATACATGTGGCCAGAAGCTAGTGGCTCACGCTTGTATCCTAGGTACTCAAGAGGCTGACATCTGAGGATTAAGGTTCAAAGCCAGCCTGAACAGGAGAGTCCATGAGACTCGTCTCAAATTAACCTCCAAGAGCCCAGAGGTGGAACTGTGGCTCAACTAGTAGAGTGAAAAAGCTCAAGGATAGCACCTAAGGCATTGGGATTAAGCCCCAGATCTGGAATAAAATAATGTATTTATGAAATATATAATTAATGTAGTATTTATTGGTTTTTAAAGAAGTAATAAAAATAAAGTATATATGAAATGTATGGTTACTATCATACTGATTTTCAAAGAAGTTTCTGGAAAATTCTAAAGTAATTATATGTCACATTATTTTTGTTTTCCTTTTTCTTTAGGACATTCAAATATCAAAGCCTTCCTGAGTCATGGTGGCTTGAACAGTATTTTTGAAACTATGTATCATGGTGTACCAGTAGTGGGAATCCCACTCTTCGGAGACCATTACGATACCATGACCCGAGTACAGGCAAAAGGTATGGGGATCTTGCTGGAATGGAAAACAGTTACTGAAGGAGAGCTGTATGAAGCCCTGATGAAAGTCATCAATAATCCCAGGTAAGGCTTCAAAAATATGAAATCAAACTGTATATACATATATGTATGTGTATGTAATATCTATTCTGATAGGCCTATGATATATATTACATAGGCCACAATTACATAGATTATCTGTAATGTCTATTACATACATATGAAATATGATCTATAATATATGATTGTATATATACAGATACATGTATGTATGCAAGTACATATACATATATGTATGTTTATATAGAATACTATATATACAGAAATGGTATATGTCTGCATATATTTGCGTATATATGTACATACATATATACACATATGTATAAAACCACAATGTATTGCCAATAGCCAGCTATCAGTCAATATTCAATAGACCCATTACAGAACTATCCTTTAGGCTTCTCTGATAATGGCTTGCACATATTTCCCATAATCTGAAAACTCCAGGTGTGTCTTTTATTTTATTGTAGTATGCTTCAGAAACTTGCAGCATTATTTTTATTATCCACATTGCAATCTAGAAGCACTTGAAGTTCAGAGAGCTTTAGTACTTGGTATGGAGCCACACAGCCTTAGAGAACTGATTGCGAAGGCAGAGCCATTCATACCACATGGATAGTGCAATGCTGCTAGCTCTCCCTAGCACTGGGTATTACTGGGTATTACATGATGATTCAGAATCTTTATATGGATTTTGCCTTTATGTTCTTGATGTAGCCTGAGTTCACCCTCTGCACAATAAGTCTGAGGGTGGACAGCTGGTCTGAGTAGCTTTAAAACAGAGCAAAAGTTTTCCCCCATTTTAAGATGTAATGTTTAATGTATCATGCATTTCAAATGACATTGATATTTTAAGAGAGTTTCTTTTGTTTATACCTGGGGCATATGAATAACCCTGAGTTGAGAAACACTGCTCTATTCTAAGAGATACTAACCATAAGAAAAAGGATTTCACATGAATAGATTTAGTGTGTATATCATTGTGTTGCCTTTATGTGAGCTCAGCAGTGGATCTCATCCTTGGGTGCTAAAAGACCCTAGGTCTTGCTCACAGCTCTGGAACATAGGGAAGTATGTTCTATAGTCCAGGGAGCTTGAGAATATCGCCCTTCTATAATCTTTAGCTTTTCTTTTAATGTCTCGTGTTAACTCAGAATACGATGTTCTTAGAAAAACATATATATATGTGTGTGTGTGTAATGCACACACAATATGCATCTATATGTACATTGCATGTGCGAGTTTACATATGCACAATGTACATATATGTGCACATATACACATTTACATGCATGTGTAGTAGATACACATATAGACTATATATTAGGGCTATTAGAATATATAATGCACATGTGCTATTGCTTGTTTTACTTGTGATGTTGGGTATTGAACCCAGGGCCTTGCACACACTAGGTAAGTGCTTTATCCCTGAGCTGGATTCCCAGATCAGCCTAGCTAGAACTCTGAATCAGAGAGATTGGGCTACAATGATAGATGGTAGTGGCTGAACCTTTTTTTTTTTTTTTTTTGGTTGGTCATGGAGCTTGAACTCTGGGTTTGGGAGTTATCCCTGCATTCTTCAACACAAAGCTAGCACTCTACCACTTGAGCCTCAGCACCACTTCTGGTTTTCTGGTGGTTAATTAGAGATAAGCCCAGAGTGGCTTTGAACCATGATCCTCAGCTCTCAGCTTCCTGAGTAGCTAGGATTCCAGGCATGAGCCACAGGTGCCCACCATGACTGAATCTTGAAATATATATACAAAGAAAGATTTTACTCCTGGTGGAAATGACAATAATTTTTGTAGTTTCCCCTTTTCTAAAAGTTATTCTATAAACTGAATCTAAGCAGTTGTGTGTTTCCCATTATAACAGGGTTATACATTTAATATGAAATTATTATTAAAGGTTAATTTTAACATAATATCCAAGATATTTTAGTCTAAGCCAAATAACCAATATTGCTAAGAAAGATTATTATTTTTTAAATGTATCACTTAAATTATCTTAATAAAAATCTGTGCATGAGAGAATTCTTTGTGTGTGTGCCAGTCTTGAGGCTTGAAGTCAGGGCATGGGCACTGTCCCTGCGTATTTTAACTCAAGGCTGGTGCTCTACCACTTGAACCACAGTCCTCCTTCAACCTTTTTGCTAGTTAATTGGTGATAAGAGTTTCGGACTTTCCTGATGAGGTTGGTTTTAACTGTGATCCTCATATCTCAGCTGCCCAACTTACTAAGATTATAGACATGAATTATAGGCACTCAACTGAGAATTCTTTTTTTTTTTTCCTTGAGAGAAAATGCTTTAGCTTCTAGAGATTTTTATTATTTTAAGGCAGGTTATAACTAAAGGTGAGAAATGTTTCATTTATAATAGCACCCTGGTCATTATAATAGCCACTGGTCAGCTATTAATAGAATTCATATATTGTTCCTATAAATATAATGTGTTGTAATTTATTCCCACAGGGCAATTCTTTTTATTATAAGGGGCTTTATTTACAAGATGCTGGGAACTAAGGCTGGTTTATATGATCATTCTAGTGTTATCATTTTTTGGTATTTTTTAACCTTCATATAATTCTTCCTGGAAAAAATATTTTGAACTACTAGCAACCTATGCTGGAAGGAAAGTAGCTAAACAGTGCCAGTTATGGAAATATCCTCCCCTTCAAACTATTCCCTGTGAACTCCCCTGGGCCTTCCCATTTGATCCATGGACCTTTAAGGAGAAAAGTCAAACAAAATCAGCTTGGTTAGTGAGCATCTACTTGGTGAGTCCAGTCCTAGGTAGGAAGTTGAGTCTGACTGATGACCATTCTTACCTGTACCCAAGCTGAGACATATAGTCAAGGGCTTATGTGGTAAGTAGTGATTATTGACCGAGTAAATCTACTGGAGTTTCATCTGAGGTAATTATTTATTCAATGGGGCAAGAGGAGGTCAGATTCTCCATAAAGAATCCTTATCAAGTTTAGTCTGCTTAACTCTTCTGACAGAAGGGTCATATCTACATAAAGACTTTTTTGGATGGATTTTTTTGTATTACTTTAGCTTTTTAAAAAATTATCTTTAAGTAGTGTACAAAGGTACAGGAAATTTAAGATACCTAAGGACTAAAGTTGCTTCATGTCCTCCTCCACCTTTGTTAAAAATAGATGATGATTTTGAGGCAGTATATTTCATATTTTTCTACTTTAAAGATGTCTTTTTTGTTTTGTTTTACTTTTTATTTGGTGCTGGTTCTGGGGATTGAACTCAGGGCATGTTTGTTTTTTTCTTTTTGTACTTGGGATCAAACCCAGGTGCACTTGCTAGGCAAGTCCTTTGCCACTGAGCTACATCGCAGCCCTAAAGATGCCTTTTTTATTCCATAAGACTTTTCTAATGAAAAGGAGTAATAGAAAGTTTCTTGATTCCTTTTGTCCTCAGTGAAAGATCAAGGTAAATTGTAAAGCAGTGTGAGAGTTTATAATGTTCTACAACTGTATTATGTGGCACTAATTTTGATGTGAGGCATTGCTGAGAGAGAAGATAGACCTTTAGAAAATGGACTCCCTCATTCTGTATTTCTGTAGAAGAACCTGCCAATATTGGAGCTAGCTTGTCCTTTCCCTTCGGCCTCCCACTCCCCTGTTCACTGCTTTTCAACTTTGCTGTTGTATTTATCAAAAGCTTAATGTATAGGACTAGAACTGTATAATATAAGAGTCATCAGATTCACTCACAAGTGTCTGAGTAGATTTTTAATGAACCACATAATCACATAGCTCTAACTTCCTATTGGTAGCTGCCTTCTGGAACTTGCCTTTCATTATATCTCAAAATTTCAACATTTCCCCAAGTATAGCTTAGGATCACTTTTTTCTATATCTTGTTATTCACCCTACTATGTGAGTCATCTAAGTTAGAACCCAAATTACAGTTAATCTGACTGCCACTTGTCCTTTTTAATCCAGGATCCCAGTAACTCCTGCTAACTCAGTTTTCCCATGTCGCTAATACCACTGCCATTTTGGGGCATTAGGCATCTTGTGTACAGTCATCCCATGACAATACTTCCTTTTATTATTATTATTATTATTATCTTTAAGTAGTTGTATAAAGGGATTTCAGTTCAACATGTTACTTTATAAGTATCATGCCTCTTGATCAGCATCACTCCTTCATCATTCCCCCATCAGTGATTCTTTTAATTGATATGGAGTCACTGACTTAGTGGCTGTTTTGGCCTTAATATTTAACCACATATTCTTTATTCAGAAAACCTTTAAAGCAAGACTCTCTAACCTCCAAATATCCCTCATCCCTTATATTATATGTTTTCCAAAGAAACGTGTCCTGGCTATACTCTTACTCTTCCATCTTTATGATCCACTTTCACATTGTTCTTTTGCCTAATCAGCTCTGTACACATATCCAAACTTTTGATCCTTTGTATATTACCTGTCCTCTATGATGTAATCTCTCCATGTGGAACAGATAACTTTTGGGGGTATGTATGCTGATACTGGGACTTGATCTCAAGGTCTCAAGCTTTTGCTTATCTCTTTCTTTCATAGCTGGTGCGCTACACTTGAGCCATTCAACTCCAGTTCTGACTTTGTGCTGGTTATTGGAGATAAGATTCTCTCAGATCTGTCTGTGGCAGCTAGCTTAGAGCATACATCATCAGATCTCAGCCTCCTGTGTGCTTGGATTATGGGCCTCAATGAAGTTCTAGCATCAGGCCTAGAACTTATTTCTTACGTCTAAATATTCTAAAATTTTAAAATTAGGAGCTATACTCTGGGGGTCATCATTTGTCAAAGCCTGTCCCACAAATGTGCATTTGCATAGTTTTAAATTAAATGTCTATGCTATAATTATTACTTCAGCTGGTAATAGTTAAAATAATTTTGGACAAACTGTCTTGTGTACATCACTGTTTTATTGGTTCCCCCCTTGTCCTTTGTCTCACCATTCTGTTGATCAGCACAACTTGGGGGATGGGTTGGGGGGGAGAGAAAGTAGGAGAAAAATGAGGGAAGGGGTAACAAGCTTGACAGGAAATGTATTCATTACCCCACTTATGTAACTGTAACCCCTCTGTACATCACCTTGACAATTAAAAAATATTTTTTATTTAAAAATATTTTCATTATTTTTCAGTAGTTGAGCAAGGGGGTTCCAATACATGCCGATTTTTGAGTACAATGTATTTTGATTGTCACCCCTTCCATCATGGTTCTCCCTTCTCCCACGCCATCCTCTCAGGTTTTAGTTGGGTTTTTCAATTAATCATTTAAGATAATACTTTGTTTTCATTTTCTCTTTTGGTAGGACTGGAGTTTGAACCCAGGTCTTCAGGGTTGCTAGGTAGGCTCTCTACTCCTGAGTCAGGTCTCGCTAGAAGATGTTTTCTTTAGACACGAAATGTACATGTACACTTGTACATCAAGATACATGCTATTATTTATTTAATACTATTTGTCAATGCCTTTCATCGATTTACTCTAAAAGAAATGACATGTTAAATTTGCTTCCTGGTGAGGGTCATGGCTTATCATTGTTTAAAGGCCTCTGGAGAGAAGAGCTATGTGTGATAGAGTGGGTGAAGAAGACAGAACTTAGAAAAAGTGTGAATCTGAATCTCACCTTTCTAATTGTTCAGATTTTTTTCAGCATTTCTGGTTTTGTTTCTGTTTACCAGTTTCACATGTATTATGTTAGGCAAACAGAAGATAATGAGTTGAAAGCATATATTCCTAGGTACAGAATAAAAGGTGGTTATTGTTACTGGGTTGTTTTGTTTTTTTTTTTTTTTTTTTGGTCCATTTTGAAAATTGAATGGTCTTTGTCTACAAAGCCTTATACATGATCATTCTGTATTTTTCCCTCACTCCATAGCTATCGGCAGAGGGCTCAGAAGCTGTCAGAAATTCATAAAGACCAACCTGGCCATCCTGTCAATCGGACTCTCTATTGGATAGATTACATTCTTCGCCACAACGGAGCCCACCACCTCCGTGCCACTGTCTATCAGATCTCTTTCTGTCAGTATTTTTTACTGGATATTGCCTTTGTACTTTTGTTTGGTGCTGCATTGTTTTACTTCCTCCTGACCCGCGTGACAACATTTATTTACAGAAAACTCACAAATCTATGGTCTAGAAATAAGCAGAATGTTGTTAATGGACATTACCACAATGGATTTCTCAATGGTAAATACAAAAGGAATGGCCATATTAAACATGAAAAGAAAGTAAAATGAGCCAGCAGCCCAGGTGATGGAAACAAATCGATCCAGCCACTGAGTTTATAATTTAGTCTAACAGCTACTAAAAGTAAAGTGTCAGTAAACAATTCTAACCCTCCTTTATCAGATCTTACTAATGAAATTCTATGGATTTACAATGGCTGTCCAAGAAAGCACAAACCTAAAAATGCAAAAATGTATTTTATTCCAATACCAATGCAGAGTTGGCCCTGAACCTTTAGAAGCCTTAATTATTTAAATGAATTTACCACACCTGGTCAGACCTTAGATTTAAATCTTGATATATGTGTGTCATGGAGAAGGAATGGTCTTTTTTTTAAAAAAAAAAGTGTGTGTATGTGTGTGTGTGTGTGTGTGTGTGTGTGTGTGTGTGTGTGTGTGTGATGTATATGTCCCAATTTTCAGAGAATTTTCCATCTGCCTGTTTTATTTGTTGAGAGACTATTACAGGTGAGAATTGAATGGAGAGATAGAAAGACAGGATCCAACTGTCCTTCTTCTAGCATTTAACATGAATGCACTCAGAATGCTACCATACAGGAAAAGTATTTCCCTCAACAGAATGCAGAGGGAAAAAATTGAAAAAGATAAGTAGCACCAGTTTTGTTCCATTTGTTAATTTTGTTGTCTTGTATTCTTGTTTTCCTTTTTTATTGATTGTGAGCCTTCTAGAGAAACATAGAATTAGGAACATGTATGAATTTATCACCGCTTACTTCTGTTTCCCTCCTACCAGTAGTTTTCTTCTGGGAAAAAAGTTGCAGCTTTTCTTATTTTAATGAGTGACATTTTGTTAAATGCATCATTTAAAGCAACAAAGCTGTGACTTTTGTTGAAAGTACTGAAGATTATTGCTCATGTGGCCTTTTTAAAAACAGGGCTGTGGTGAATGTTAATGTAATTGTTTTTTGGCTTTTCCATCCTGTATGTTTTGAATGTTCAGGTGTTACAATGCTAACATGTTAATGTGAAAGCTCCATCTTCACCCCTTTTAGCCCTGTGGACCACACAATCTATAGTACATAGGTGCCAACATTCAATTCTTTTCAATGGAATGGTGGAGGTTCTTGCTGTTGGTACCTGTTTTGACTGCAGGAGGGGCTGAGGTTTTGTTAACAAGTGAGACTTTACATGATACACAAAAGTGACAGAATTGTCCCACCTGTTTATACAAATGAGTTTCTTTTCCCCTCCTTGGTCCTTCTGCTGCCTTCTCCAGTCATGGTGGCTAACAGGAAACAGGGACAGTTTGAATTTGCAGTGAAGTCACAGGCATCATAAAGTCAGGACACCGCTGGTGAACCAATCTCTAGGTAGCAAGTACACATTTATCCCATGTCTTTCTGTTTACTTCGTATTTGCACTACACATGTTGAGTGTGTGTTTTATTTATTTGTCATTAGAAGTCCTATGTCTGAGAGTAGATTAACCTAGCATTAACTTCACATCATTCACTTGTGTGGAAGAGTTGCGAAAATTCTAGAATGCTAAAAATTCTTGTCATACACAATGACATACAACTTCATTCCTCCCACCAGGAGCCACTGTCCTACACTTAGAAATACTGGCACAAGTAGTTTTCTAATGTACAATGCAGATAAATGTACTGCTCGCTGAATACTTGAAGAAATGGTATTACACATATAAACTTATCAGTCATATCTTTTCACAATCCTACCACAGCGTTGCCGTTAAAGAGATAAAAAAGACACAAGCCATGAATGGTGGGCTGAAATGGGACTTAGAGTGTATGAATGAGTTGATGTTACATGTTTTGGAATTTGATGAAATTGAAACTAGGCACTGACTGGATGCAACAGTTAATCTCCACTGTGATTTAAAAAGGAAAACTTAATAAACATGATTTAAAATAGAGAAATGTTGTTGGGATACAATTTTTTTATTCAGATTTTATTTCATAATATATGACCAATATGTTTCTAAGACAGACCTCCAACACTTTTTGCGTGGGTAAGTTTGAAAACAAGATATTAAATGTGAGAGTGGATTTTTCTTACCAAATAGAGAGATTTTCCTTTCAAGAACATCAACACAGAACTTAAAATGCTGTCACAGAATTAAGAAAGTCAAATGTAGATATTTAATGACCAGGGTTGGTAGGTTAGTTTTAGAGAGCTTATTGTTAGCTAGTTTTAATAGAGTAATTCAATATTTTCCACACTCAGGCTAGATTCTCTAATAAAGTCAAGAAGGTATATATAGATTATTTATTTATTTATTTTTGCTGGTGCCTGGGGCCTGAACTCTGGGTTTGGATGCTGTCCCTCAGCTCTTCAGCTCAAGGCTAGTGCTCTACCACTTGAGTCACAGCGCCACTTCCGGCTTTTTCTGCTTTTGTGGAACTGAGGAATTGAACCCAGGGACTCAATGCATGCAAGGCAAGCACTCTACCACTGAGCCTTTCTAGCCATAGATTTATTTTTGTACAAATAATCTGAGTAACTTCTCTCAAGTGTTCCATGGCTAATTATTATCAGACATTAAAATATTCTTCTAGAGCAGTAATGTCTATGCCACAAAGGACAGATGGAAGATTTGGATGTCTAGAATTTGAGCAAATGTCAGAGAGAAAGTAATGGTTCGTGTTGTACTAGGAAAAAGTTAGGTGTCCTGTTCATAGCCCAGTTTCTTACCAAATCCCCAAGTGCTACTAAAAGTGAATGATTCCCATTTGAAAATGAAAGGTTTAGACAGCAGATATCCATGAAGCTTGGAGGATATTGTCTATCACGAAGCCCTGGGATTCATACCCAGTCTCTTTCTCATCTCATCTTACCACAAAACCAAAACAATCCATAAAAACAACTTCAAGAGATAATTTAGTGATATTTATTGAAAATAATTTATCTTTTAACTTCTTGCTCCTAAGTAATTCAAGTCATTGATAAAATCATTGTCATCATCTAAGGTAGATTACATAGAAGTCAGAAACTTTTAAATCTACAGTGATAAAGCTTGAGAATTACAGGAAGAAATTCCTCCACAATATAGTTCAAGAGCATCTTTTCCCACTGTTGAGATATTAAGAGTTTTGGCTAATTTTTAAAAAGATGTGTTTTGTGCAAAGATACTATTGATATTTTTAGAATATAGCAACATTTTTCTGAGTTTAGTAACTGTGCTCTCAAATATGCACAAATAAAACATTCATCTGGTCATTTTCTAGAAGTCCTGGAGTCCAGATAATGCTGCAAGCCTCCCCTTACCTTGTTGCTGAGGTGGGGGTACCAGCAGAAATGTTGGTGTTGGTACTCTTAATTTTTAAAATCTAGAAAATAGATGGCACACGATAATCATATCACTCATATATTCTTTCTGGCAATTCAGACATGACTTAAGAGAAAAATCACATTGTAGTCTACTTAGTGTAATAAAACTAGATTTTTTTCAATACAATATAATCATTTAGAGGGAAATGGACAGATTTGGAAAAATTATGTTGAGGAAGGTGAGACACACTCAGAAAAAGGATGCATGCGTTCTCTTCTATGTGAATGTTAAAGGTCAAGTATAAACATATAAAACATCTGTAGAACTATATGCATTTGTAGATGATCACACTGAATAAAGTTCGCTACATGCACAGATGCAGGTTACCAAGAAGCCCACCTTTGAACAAACAGACCATTTAGCAAAATGAATATCAAGAAACTGGAATAATTGTCTGGGGAGTAGAGGTTAAAGGGAGGGAGGCAGAGACAAATGAAGAGGGGGTGGTGGATGGATATAGTCACACTATTCAATGTACGTGTGTGAAAATGGATCTAGGAAACAAGGGGGCAGGTGGAGCAGGGATAAATGAGGGGGAATGATGAAGTGACACTGCTCAAATACGTTGTACACAAATGGGTATGTTAAATGGAACCTCTTACAATTGAAAGATAACATGATTTCTTTTCTTTTTTTATTGTGAGAATACTGTACAGAGGGGTTACAATTACATGGGCAAGAGAATGAGTACATTTCTTATCAAGCATTGTAGCCTCCTCCTTTGTTTCCCCTTCCCATCCCTTCCCATCCTCCCTCCGACCCCCCACCAAAGTTGTAAAGTTCGTGTTTCGACATAACGACTTGTACTTCTCATTGTTGCAATGGGTCCACCTGTACCCCTAGTTAAACAATTTGTTTTTTCCCTTCCCCTCCACAAATCATACCAACATCAAATACAGTGAAAGCAGGGGTTATACCATGGGGGAGGGACATACAAAGCAACGAAGAAATAATCTTATAAATGTGTTAGAAATAATCTCATGAAAGAAAAAAACATTTGAATACATACCTTAGGGTTCACTTCCCTAACATCAACTTATCTAACCTTTTCTGCTTGACTCAGACATATACTAGATATTGCAAAGAACGGAGACCATGGGACCTATGTTTCTTTGGGCCTGGTTTACTTCACTTAATATAATTTTTTTCAAGTCTTTCCATTTCCTAACAAATGGGGCAATGTCATTCTTTCTTGTGTACATATACCACATTTTCTTGATCCATTCATCTACTGAGGGGCATCTGGATTGGTTCCATATCGTAGTTATGGTAAATAATGCTGCAATAAGCATAGTCGTGCTGGTAGCTTTAGTGTGGTCTTGTTTGTGAACATTTGGGTAAAAGCCCAAACGTGGGATTGCTGGGTCATAGGGGAGTTCTATGTGGAGCCTTTTGAGGAACCTCCATACTGCTTTCCAAAGTGGTTGAACAAGTTTACACTCCCACCAACAGTGCAGTAACAACATATAATTTTTTTAAAGAACATAATCCAAAATCAGATTAAAAATCCAAACCACAAATGAAAGTATATGAAGTTATTCAAATAAAACAATGATAATCTATTCAAAATCAAATGCTAATGTTAATCTCAGGAATGGTACGGTATGTAGTGAAGCATTTTTATCTACTAATAAAACCTGAATTTCTCACTGAATTTTGTAGATGTAAAACTAATCTTGTCTTAGCTTCTACAATTAGTTTTCACTTTTTCAGTAATCCAACTTTGTGTAATAAGTGATCATTCCTTATTGTAAAGGAGTTAATTATAACTAATTATGCCAAATCTGTATAATTAAGCACATCATCAAAAGATAACTTCTGCCAAGCTATGATTCCTTGGTCTTAATATCAGAATCAAATTTCCCTTCAGACAGGAAAAGTAAAAAAGTAAAAGTTCAATCATGGTTCATTTTCTCACTGACATCATGCAAATTATGTTGTTGTTTTTTTCAGTTGGTTGTGGGGCTTGAACTCTGGGATGGGCCCTGTCCCTGTGCTCTTCAGCTCAAGGCAAGCACTCTACCACTTGAGCCACAGTGTCACTCCCGATTTTCTGGTGATTTATTGGAGATAAGAGTCTCGAGGGGTGGGGGTGGGGGGTGGTCTCACGGACTTTCTTGCCCTGGCTGGCTTTGAACTGCGATCCTTAGATCTCAGCCTCCTGAGTAGCTAGTATTATAGGCGCGAGCCACCTGCACCCAGCTTGCAAATTATGTCTAATTAAGGGAAATATTTCTTTTTTACTTATTAAAGAATTTCATTAGAATATTTAATATAGTTGTAAAGGTGCATTTTGCATTTATATGAAATTCTATTTCAGTTTTACTAATAGGTCTTTGACTGAAGCCTGACTTAGCAAAAATGGGAATTTTAAATAGGAACACATGATATTAAATTTCAAGCTAATAGTGATATGTACTACTATATCTCTCTTTGGCCTGTATATTTTGTTCATAGATCAAAATAAATGGCAACCAAAAAAGCTTAGTATTCTGGAAATCTTGAAAAGTGTCAATTTTGCCTCCAATTCTGACTCTAGTCAATGGAGATAGCAAGAAGATCAATTTATGAATAAAAAGGCAATGCTTTGTGTTAAAATTCAGGTGTACTTATACATAGTGACTCAGTCTTGTAATCTGCATAGTGGAAGAGATCAGGACTTTAAGTCCAGCTTTGATGACTTCATGAGATTCTGCTCCAACATTCAGAAAAAAAAAGAAAAATGGTATGAATGATTTACTAGATTTCATCAGGAAAAGCATGATGCCTATCAAAACCACAAGTGGAAGTAAGAAAAAAATTAAAAAGTGAGAAAACTGCATATATTATATGATATAATGGTATCATTTACCTATATTTCTATATATGAATAGAATTTAAATTATAAACTCCATTCACTAGAAATTACACATTGAGAAGTAAACCAAAATGCTAATTCTTTTTCTGGAAGCATGACACAGTTCTTAAAAAGTTGCTTCAAGAAACGAAACATTGTTTTGAAACTGAATCAAGATTCCAAAGAATCTGATCTTAGCAGGGAGCCCAGTGGCTCACACCTGTAATCTTAGCTACTCAGAAGCCTGAGAACTGAGGATCATGGCTTGAAGCCAGCCTGAGCAGGAAAAGTTTGTGAGACTCTTGCTGCCAATTAAACACAAAAGGCCAGAATGGAGCTGTGGCTAAAGTGGTAGAGCTCTAGCCTTGAGCAAGAGAGTTCAAGGACAGTGCCCAGGCTCTGAGTTCAAGTACTAGTACAGGCAAAGAAAAAGAATTCAATTGTAGAGTATTGATCATCAGACCCTTCTATAACATTCCTTACCAAAATATTGAGAAAACAGAATGAAAGTGTTCTTGAAATAAAGCCAAACCATTGCTTTGAGTATATTCTTCTTTCTTACACTTTTATCTACTTAGTTACGCTATAATGAAAAAAAAATAGCTTTAGATTTAGAAATTTAGAAATAAATTTAATAAATAGAAATAAAATTTGTCACTGATAATGAGTCCAGCTCATAATCACAGTTTCTCATTTGGGAGTTGGTCTTCAAGAAGAAGGAATTGGCTCCAGTACCTAGAAGTAAATTTTCATCCGTCCAGGAGATGGAGACTCATTTCTGTGTAACTTGTTTTGCTGATAGAATAT